CAAACTTCAGAGCGGAGTTAAACGACATAGAGACAAAAGAAACAATATATAAGATCAACAAAACCAAGAGCCGGTTCTTTGAAAGGATAAACAAGATTGGTCAGCCTCTAGCCAGGCTAACAAGAAACAAAGAGAAAGGACTCAAATAAACAAAATGAGAAACGAAAGAGGTGAAATAACAACAAACCCTGCCGAAATACAAAGGATTGTTACAAAATACTATGAACAACTTTATTCCAAAAACCTGAGCAACCTGGAGGAAATGGACATATTCCTAGAAAAATACTACCTTCCAAAATTCAATCAGGAAGAATCTAAAAACCTCAATTGACCAGAGACTTGGGAAGTAATTGAAACAGTCATCAAAAAGCTTCCAGCAAACAAAAGTCCAGGGCCAGATGGCTTCACAGGAGAGTTTTACCAAACATTCAAGGAAGAACTAAAACCTATCCTCCACAGACTATTCCAAAAAAATTCAAGAGGAAGGAACACTTCCAAACTCCTTCTATGAAGCCAGCATCACCCTAATACCAAAACCAGATAAAGACAACTCAATGAAAGAGAATTACAGGCCAATATCCCTCATGAACATAGATGCCAAATTCCTCAACAAAATTCTAGCAAATTGGTTCCAGCAGAACATCAGAAAGATCATACACCACAACCAAGTAGGATTTATTCCGGGAATGCAAGGATGGTACAATATCCGCAAATCAATAAACATGATACATCACACAAACAAATTGAGAGATAAAAATCATATAGTCATATCAATTGATGCAGAAAAAGCATTTGATAAAATCCAACACCCTTTCCTGATACAAATTCTCAACATACTGGGAGTACAAGGATCATACCTCAACATAATAAAAGCTGTATATGATAAACCCACAGCCAACATCATACTCAATGGGCAAAATCTAAAACCATTCCCTCTAAGAACAGGAACAAGACAGGGATGCCCACTCTCACCACTCCTGTTTGACATAGTACTGGAAGTACTAGCCATTGCAATTAGACAAGAAGAAGAAATAAAAGGCATCCAAATTGGAAAATAAGAAGTAAAGTTATCCTTATTTGCAGATGACATGATATTGTACATAAAAAACCCAAAAGACTCCATCAAAATCTAATAGACTTAATAAATGAATTCGGCAATGTAGCAGGATACAAAATTAATGCCAAGAAATCTATGGCATTTCTATACACCAATAGTGAACTTGCAGAAACAGAGACTAAAAAGGCATTTCCATTTACCATCGCACCAAAAAAATTAAAATACCTACGAATAAACTTAACTAAGGAGATAAAAGACCTATATGCAGAAAACTACAGGACACTGAAAAAAAGAGATAGAGGAAGATGTAAACAGATGGAAAGACATACCATGTTCATGGATTGGTAGAATCAACATCATCAAAATGTCCATTCTTCCTAAAACAATCTATAGGTTCAATTCACTCCCCATTAAAATACCAACGGCATATTTCACTGACCTAGAAAGAACTCTCCAAAGGTTCATTTGCAACAATAAAAGACCCCGAATAGCCACAGCAATCCTGAGAAAGAAGAGTAAAGTAGGAGGAATCTTAATACCAGACTTCAAGCTGTATTACAAAGCCACTGTTCTCAAAGCAGCCTGGTACTGGCACAAGAACAGACGTATAGACCAATAGAATGGAATAGAGAACCCAGATATTGACCCAAACCACTATGCTCAATTAATATTTGACAAAGGAGGCACAAATATACAATGGAGTCAAGACAGTCTCTTCAATAAATGGTGCTGGCAAAATTGGACTGACACATGCAAAAGAATGAAACTAGATCACCAACTTACACCATACACAAAAATAAACTGAAAATGGATACAGGACTTAAACATAAGAAAGGAAACCATAAAAATACTAGAGGCATCCAGAGGCAGCAAAATCTCAGACATATCCCAAAAGAACTTCTTCACTGATACTGCCTCTAGGGTAATGGAAGCTAAAGAGAAAATAAACAAATGGGACTACATCAAAATAAAAAGCCTTTTTACAGCGAAAGAAACCATCAACAAAACAAGAAAGCCGACTGTATGGGAGAGTATATTTTCAAATGTTATCACTGATAAATGTTTAATCTCCAACATCTATAGACAGCTTATACAACTCAGTAAAAGGAATATGAATGATCCAATTAAAAAAAATGGGCAATGGACCTAAATAGAATATTTTCAAAAGAAGACAGAAGGAAGGCCAAGAGGCACATGAAAACATGCTCAAAGTCACTAATTAACCGAGAGATGGAAATCAAAACAATAATGCGGTACCATTTCACACCGGCCAGAATGGCCAACATCAACAAATCAACAAATAACCAGTGCTAAAGAGGGTGCAGAGAAAAAGGAACCCTCATGCACTGCTGGCGGGAATGCAGACTGGTACAACCACTGTGGAGAACAGTGTGGAGTTTCCTCAAAAAACTGAAAATGGAACTCCCATTTGACCCAGTAATCCCACTCCTAGGAATATATCCCAAGAAACTAGAAACACCAATCAGAAAAGATATATGTACCCCTATGTTCATAGCAGCACAATCTACAATAGCTAAATTTGTAAACAGCCTAGGTGCCCATCAGCAGATTATTGGATTAAAAAAAAAAAAATGGTACATCTACACAATGGAATTCTATGCTGCCAAAAAAAGAAGGAATTATCATTTGCAGCAACCTGAATGGAATTGGAGAACATCATGCTGAGTGAAATAAGCCAGTCAATGAAAGAGAAACACCACATGACCTCACTCATTTATGGATAATAAAGAACATTATAAACTGATGAACCAAAAGATAGATATAGAGACAGTAAAGCAACAAGCAGACTGTCAAATTACTGCGGGGAGTTTAGGGAGATCTGGGGGAGATAAGAGATCAACCGAAGGACTTGTATATATACATATAAGTACAACCAATGGACACAAAAGTCTGGGGAGGGAGGGTAAGTATGGGAAGGGGGGCAATGTTAAAATATGTACACAGATAATAATTTAAAAAATGTCCTGTTCTTCCACAAAGTCTAATTTGCTCATATGCATAGTGTACATAATTTAGATGATTTTGCATTTCATTATACTGTCCCCATCCTGACAGCATTTCATAAGTTATTTGAGCATTCAGCCCATGGCGTGTGTGGGCTTGCTCCTGACATTTGTCCAAAATTCTCCCTTCCATAGTTAATAATGTCCTCCAGCCAGAGTTGTGCCAGCCAGAGAATACCAATCATAACGAGCTAAGAATGTTTCAGAAATGTTATTCACAATTTCTCCTGTAAAAAGGAGCTACTGGACCATTTTGAACCACACTTTCATGTAAGATCTTCATCATTTTAAAGTCAAATTTTTTCATGCTGTCTTATTATATGATCTGGGAGCTATGGGTCAGCTGCCTGTAAAATAGGAAAACCAAATCTTTCCATATCCTTTTATCCTTCTTGGATAGTTCTTTGCATAGGTGATTCTATTAACAGCGAATTAAATGTTTCAGGATTAGGACATGGAAGTGGAGGGGCCCCTGAAGGGCATTCCCCCAATTTTTCTTTTTGCTCCTCTTTAGGAATGGAGGGAGCAAGGGGAGAGGGTTTATCCTTCTTAGCCTCTCTAAAAAGCTCTAGCAAATGAAATACTATGTTCCACAAGAAGAAACAATTTGGAGGTACGTTTTTCCCCTGCTGCTGAGCTTTTATCAAGTTTTGACCCACTCTTTCCCAACATTAAAGATCTAATGTACCTTCTTCAGGAAACTAAGGGTTATGTTCTATAATAACATGCAAAAACTGTAAGAGAATACCTCCTGATACTTTAATTGCTTTATCTTTAAGCATGCAAACCAAAAGTCTACAATAAATTCTGCCCCACTAGCCTGGCTAAAAAAAGACCTTCCCACCTTATTTACAGACCGCAACTTCTGTAGCTAGCTGTGAGCTTTGTATGTGGTGAATTTCCCCACCTATCCAGTGAATTTTCCCCACATTGCTGGTGAAACTTCGTTTTTCTGCACCAGGCAATATTTTCTCCTCCAGATGTCCCTCGTTGAGGCGCCAGATGTGCAAACTACATCCTGTGTGGTTTAGGGTTTGGGATCTGGAGAAGGGCCATGCGCAAATGACAGAGACGAGACAAGAAATAATAATTTGGAAACATTGGGGGCCAGGCAGAAAGTCCAACCCAAGGGGAAGGACTTCCATTGGTGCACGGGCCTTGCTAACCTTTTATTCAATTTTGGATACACATATAGCCCTTAGTTAGGCAGGCAATTCTGGTAACAGACAGACTATCTTAAAGGTCAGTAAATATTGGTAAAGATTTACTCCGAGCTTAATTTGGTAGGAAATTGTTTGAGCTACCATTGTCTCGAATAAGCAATCGGTGTGTAGCTCTGGCCCTTGCCAGGAGTCAAGGTTCACCAGCATTCCAGGATCCTTGTTTACTTCTCTGATAGTGAAGACAATGGGTAGCTTCCAACAGTTGAAAAGCAATCCCTAATAAATTTAGTCATGTCTAATGATATGCTTGCCACAATCCATTTAATTTATTATAAAAGTCTTATCCTGACCAAAATTACCTAAAGGATCAAAATAATCAGGAATTTTGTTCTATAAGTAGATGGATTGATCATTTTTCAACTCCATTGGAACCTGAACACTGAATTGTTTGTGGCAGGCAACTCTTTCTACTCAATAAGGTTTCAGGGAAAATAATTTAGTAAACCTAACATTCCTCTAGGAACTCAACTCCTTGGTATCATAAGATATCCATAACACTCACTGATCTCTATAAGAATTGGGACTTCTATTGTGAACAGCTGGACACTAGAGCACAGCTTGAGAAATAAAAAGTCATCAGCACTCTTAGATATCCTATATAATGAAAGCCTAATATGCTAAGTGCCCAGTGACCAGTCAACTGTTCAACCAATCAAAGTGTAATATGCTTATGATATGCTAAGGCAGCTCAACCACTAGCTATGACATACACTGACCACGGGGAGTGGAGGGGGGTAGACAGTTGACTGGTCGACCAGTGCTATGATGTGCACTGTCCACCAGGGGTCAGACACTCCAACTGGTAGGTTAGCTTGCTGCTGGGGTCTAGCAGATCAGGATGGGCAAGATGGGACTGGACACATCCTGGAGCCCTCTCTCAGTCCTGATTGTGCATTGGTGGAGTCCCTTGGCCTGGCCTGTGCCATTTCCAATCCAGGTCCCCTCAGGGGGTGTCGGAAAGCTGGTTTCATCCCAACCCTGCAGGCCACTTCCTTCAGAAGGGCACCAGATGCAGGGCGGTGTGAGCTTCTCCCAATTGGGACTGTTTGGGTGCGAGCTTGTGGCAGGCACAGTGGGGCTGGGATGAGCAAGAGCCTGGCAGGTAGGAGCTACAGGAGGCATTGGACTGTGGGTTTTGGCCTGAGCCCCACAGGCTACCCTGAAGGACCCCAACCATGCAAGAATTCTTGCACTGGGCCTCTAGTTAGTACTATAAATAAGCAGCATTAGTGTCCATACTCATTGATTCAGGCACTAGGACTAAAAGAAAGAATGATTATACATAAATTGGGAAATAGATGTAGACTATATTAAAGGCAGAATTACCATTGAAACAAAAATAGAAAAAAAAATACAAAAAGGGAATGTTATCTTAACATTAGATAATCACTATCTGTATACTAACCTTGCTGTGAAAACAGATCTTTAGTGCTAATCCTTATGCCAATTTCAACTATGAAATTTTATCCTGATGAATATTATTGAAATTAAACATAAAAATCATTATTAAAACCCTTAACAAAATCTATGGTCCATAACTTATGCTTATAGGTTTGTTTGTTTTTTTTTTTTTATCATGACAATAACTCATAAAGGTTAAAATAAAGCTAGATAGAAAATAAACGTAATTAGATAATATTACCCCAAGTTGGCATTGAAAGTCTGTAAAACACTATTATATTTAGTAGAGTGGAAATCTGATCTGAACTTACTTTCAGGAACACCACGCATTTATGACTGAAATCAGGTTTTACATTTACATTGCTGTTCAATTCTCAATTTGATTACATAGTCTGTTGAATCTTGAATTGTAGATACCTGATATAGGAGTGGTATTCACAGCTCAGCTATATTTAAATTGTAATCTAGGGAAAAAATGATTGAATAAAAACCTCAGATTTTTAAAAATTTGATTTTCATAGCATCACGGCAGAATTGAGTATAAATGTACTGCACGTATGCATGCTTGTAAATGCACACGCACACAAATAGCACATGTAGTCTGAAGTCTGATTACCCTCAATACCACAAAGACCTTATAGAAATGATTAATGGACTTTTCAGGGAAGTTAAAGAATCCATGAAAGTCTTTTTAATTCCACTTTATCTTACAAGAAGAAGGAAAAGAGTCTTTGGAAAGATATATATGCTTTTAGGCTTTCACAGATTAGGGAAGGAGAAAGGGATAAATATAGAAAGACCGTATTTAATTAACTGCTGTGGGATTGATGAAGTCAGTCAGTAAATTAAATTACTGTAAAGTCCTTAAATACTTATCTGCACAGCAAGTATTTGATAAAATGCTTTTATATTGTGAAGCTTTCAATCCGCCATGGTGACTTATTTTGAAGATTCAAATTGTTCCCAATATTGAACTCTGTAAGCTTCATGGAAGATAGTGGATCCTGGGAATAAAAAGAAGAAATCTACATGTGAGAAGAACAAAAATATGTACATGGTAACATCTACTGACAATGTGCAACTTTTAAAATTATGTTTATAAAGAATATGGGTCAGCATTAAAGGTATTAAGCAATAAACACAGAATGCAAAATTATATATGCAATATTGTAATTATTTTACCCCAGAAATTGTATCTGGAACAAAAGCTTAAGGAAGTACACTAAATTGATGCAAGTGGTGAATTCATGAGTAATTTATTTTCTCTACTTTCTACTTGTATTTTTCACATTTTCTCCAATGAATACTTAATAATTTCATAATTCAAAACATTTTTTTGAAATCCATATGAAAATAACATGTGCTTTGTAATTGGGCAATTCTGAATTTAAGTTCCAGCTTGGCTACTTGTTATTTCTGTGACTCTGTTTAAATAATATCAATGAACTTTAGTTTCTTCATTTGTAAAATAGGCATAATAAAATCTAAAATAATATTTGGCATATAATAGGCACTCAGGTAGCTTTTATTAGTATCAGCGTTTTGGAAAACAATTTGGCATATACAGTATATTGACCCTTTTAAGAATTTATGCCAGTAATTTTTCTTTTAAGATTTTATCCTAAGAAAATGATTATAAAGAAGGAAAGAGATTTATGCCCAATGATATTCTTCTTTTTCTTTTTCTCCTTTTTCTCCTTCTCCTTCTCCTTCTCCTCCTTCTCCTTCTCCTTCTCCTTCTCCTTCTCCTTCTCCTTCTCCTTCTCCTTCTCCTTCTCCTTCTCCTTCTCCTTCTCCTTCTCCTTCTCCTTCTCCTTCTCCTTCTCCTTCTCCTTCTCCTTCTCCTTCTCCTTCTCCTTCTCCTCCTTCTCCTTCTCCTTCTCCTTCTCCTTCTCCTTCTCCTTCTCCTTCTCCTTCTCATTATTATTATTACTATTACTATTACTATTATTATTATTATTATTATTATTATTATTATTATTATTATTACTAGAGGCCTGGTGGATGAAATTCATGCAAGGAGGCATGTCCCTCAGCCCATCCTGCACCCTCTCCAATCTCGGACACCCTGAGGAATGTCCGACAGCTGTCGGACATCCTTCCCTCTTATAATCCAGAACTGCTGGCTCCCAACTGCTTGCCTGCCTGCCTTCCTGATTGCCCCTAACCACTTCTGCCTGCCAGCCTGATCTCCCCTAACCACTCCCCTGCCAGACAGATTGATGCCTAACTGCTCCCCTGCAGGCCTGGTTCCCCCCATCTGTTCTCCCCTGCAGGCCTGGGCCTCCCCTAACTGCCTTTCCCTGCAGGCCCAGTCATCCCCAACTTCCTTTCTCTGCTGGCCTGGTTACCCCTAACAATTCCCTGCAGGCCTGCTCACCCCTAACTTCCCTTCCCTCCCCTGCAGGCCTGGTCCCCCCAACTGCTCTCCCCTGCAGGCCCCAGTCCCTCCTAACTGCCCTTCCCTGCAGCCCCGGTTGCCCCCAACTCCCCTCCTCTGCCAGCCTGGTCACCCCTATCTGCCCTCCCCTACAGGCTTGATCACTCCCAACTGCCCTCCCTTGCAGGCATGGTCCCTCCCAAATTCCCTCTCCTGCTGGCCATCTTGTGGAGGCCATCTTGTGTCCACATGGAGGCAGAATCTTTGACCACATGGTGGCAGCCACCTTGTGTATTAGAGTGATGGTCAATTTGCATATTTCTCTTTCATTAGATAGGATAGAGGCCTGGTGCACATATGGGGCCAGCTGGTTTGCCCTGAAGGATGTCCCAGATCAGGATGGGGGTTCTCTTGGGGGATGGGGCTATCTGGCGAGGGTCCTATGGTGGTTTGTAGCTGGCCATGACACCCGGCAAGCTAAGTGGAGGTCCTGGTATCTGGGATTTATTTATTTTCTACAATTGAAACTTTGTAGCCTTAACTGGAGGCTTGGGCCTGCCAGAGTGTGCAGAAAGCTTGGCTTCCTCCATTACCGGGGGAAACCCTAGCTTCCTGCTCTCACCAGTCTTGCTGGATAGATTATTCTTGGATTCAGGCATTTGATTTGCATCTCTTTGCATACCTCCTTCCATTCCCTTCTACCTTGATGTGTTTCTGTTAAGAAATCACTTGATAATCTGATGGAGGTCCTTTGTAGGTAACTCTTTCTTTCTCTTGCAATCTGTCTTTGTTGTTATCATTTGCCATTGTAATTATGATGTGTCTTGGTATGGGTCTAACAGATTGGTGCATTGAAACTTATGGTGGACAAATGGGAGAGATCTGGGAGGGCGAGAAGGGTAAAGAGCTGATATGAGCAATAGATACAGCCTTGCAGCAAGGAGCAATCTGTGTGACTCAGTCCAGAGAGGGGAGGAATCAGGTTGCCCCTGGTACTCCCTTCACCTGGAGGAGCAATAAAATTCAGTGGGCATTCCTGCAGAAGTGAGCAGTGAACTGTGGCTGAGCCCAGGGACCTGGGAACAGATGAAGCGCAGAGTTGAGGCCACAGTTGTCTAGCAATTTGCATTCCAGATGGAGAAACAAAGCCACAAAACCTGACTGTTCCACCCGGACATCCAAGAACTCTCCTCCTTTCACCTTTTTTGTTTGTTTGTTTGTTTGTTTTTTGTTTTTTTGTTAAAGAGCACATATTTTTCAAACCCAAGAAATAGTATAACCCACCCCACTATTCTCTTAACATTGTTTTTCTTTTCTTTTTTTAATTTTAAATAAATCTTTATTGTTCATATTATTATAAATGTTCCTCATGAGATTCCCCTCCTCCAGGTTCCCATCCCACCCTCTGCCCTTTCCCCATCCCCCATTGTCCTCATCCATAGGTGCACAGTTTTTGTTCAATCTTTTCCCGCACCCCCCACTTCCCTTTTCCCCAAGAATTGTCAGTCCACTCCACTTCCATAACTCTGACTCTATTATATTCACCAGTTAATATTGTTCATCAGATTTTTTAATTCCCTTGGTTTTTAGATTCACTTGTTGATAGTTATGTATTTGTTGTTCATAATTTTTATCTTTATCTTCTTCCTCTTCCTAAAGAACCCCCTTCAGCAATTCATATAATTCTGGTTTGGCAGTGATGAACTCCTTTAGCTTTTTTTTTTTTTATTTGTGAAGCTCTTTATCTGGCCTTCAATTCTGAGTGATAGCTTTGCTGGGTAGAGTATTTTGGGCTGTAGGTTCTTGCTATTCATCACCTTGAATATTTCTTGCCATTCTCATCTGGCCTGCATGGTTTCTGTTGAGAAATCAGTTGACAATCGTATGGGTAACTACCTACTTTTCTCTTGCTGCTTTTAATATTCTCTCTTTGTCTTTTGCTCTTGGAGTTTTAATTATGATGTGTGTTGGTGTGGTCCTCTTTGGATTCCTTTTGTTTGGGGTTCTGTGTGCTTCCTGGACTTGTAAGTCTATTTCTTTCCCCAGGTGGGGGAAGTTTTATTTCACTATTTCTTCCAATATGTTTTCAGTATCTTGCTCTCTCTCTTCTTCTGGGTTCCCATAATTCTGATATTGGTGCGCTTGAAGTTGTCCCAGAGGTTTCTTACATTATCTTCAACTTTCTGGATTCTCTTGTCTTCTTGCTTCTGTGGAGGAGAGTCTTCTGGCTCTTTATGTTCCAAATCTTTGACTTGATTCTTGTGATCTTCCATTCTGTTTTTAGGATTCTGTATAATAATTTTTTATTTCAAACAATGTATTCTATATTTCTAGTTGATCCTTTTTTATTTCTAGTTGATCCCTTTTCATATCCTCATAGGTCCCATTTATTTTATCGGCCTTTTCTAGAAAATTCTTGAAAAACCTTATAACCATGGTTTGAAACTCTATATCTAGTCGCTTGTTGTCCTCCATTTCTTTCGTTTGTGATCTGTTTCCTTGTCTCGGCATTTTCGCTGCTTCCCTGAGTTGGAAGGGTGGCTTTGTGTGCTAAGATGTCCTATATGGTTCAGTGGGTCAGCCTCCCAATTATCTGAGGTGGACACTCTTGGTGCACCCCTTTGTGGAGTGTGTGTACAGCCTTATTGTAGTTAAGTCTTGGTTCTTGTTGATATTATTGGGAGGAATTGACCTCCAGGCCAATTGGTTGTGAAGATCAGCTGTTTATGCTGGGAGATAGCCTTATTCGACTAGACTTCGAAAATTACAAAAGCCTCTGTATTCAGCTTGGATGGGGTGGAGTTTCAGGGTGGAGCCTACAGGCTTGGCTTCCTGTCAGCCCCACCCTATAAGGTTCCTAAGTCTGTGTTTCTCACTGTCCTTTGGTACTCGCTGCAAGCACCTCTGAGAGAAAGGTGCCCTCAAGTTTCACCCACTACCAGACAGCCTCGTCTCTCCTCCAATGAGCCCAGAATTGGGGTTCAGTTCAGTTGGAAGTGGGGTTCAGTGCAGTCCAGAGCTTTTGTTTCCTTCGTGATAGGGCAATCCAGTGGCACAGTCAACAGTCCATCCTCTGCGCGCAATGTGCGAGACTCCAGGGCTCTGCCTTTCACTGCTCCCCTGAGTTTCTGCCTTACAGCCCAGGTTCCCTCCATATGAGCCTGGCTCCTCAGGACTAGTCTAGAACTGGGGTTCAGTGCAGTCGGAACTGGGGCTCAGCACAGTCCGGAGCTTTTGTCTCCTTCCCGCTAGGGCACTCTAGCAGCACAGTCAACAGTCTGTCCTCTGTGCGCAATGTGCATGCCTCTGGAATTGCCTTTTGCTGCTCCCCTGAGTTTCCACCTTACAGCCCAGACCCCATCCGTATAAGCCTGGGTCCCCAGGGTCTCGCCCAGAACTGGGATTCAATACTGTCAGAACTGGGGTTCAGCACAGTCTGGAGTTTTTATCTCCTTCCCGCTAGGGAATGCCAGCCAGGCACTCAGCCGCCCCCTCCTCTCCAGCTCAGTCCTCTCCCCAAGCATGCACCATGTCTCCCTACCTTAGGCTTTTAAAGCTCCTCTGATTTTCCTTCTGATTTTCTCTTTCCTTCTTGTTGTAGAATTTCCAGTCAGTCAACTTTCC